AATATGCCCAGTGAATCGACGCAGGGCAAATTGTAATGCTCTCACGCATACTTTGTGCGAGAGCAAGAAAACATGTGCACACAGGTGCCAAATCTGATCAGTAATTTGTTTGCAGCAATCATTGCTAATACATAACTTGAACTGATGGACTGAACATCCCATAGTTATAACAAGCAACGCAAGAATGGAATGTACATGTTCGTGCATTTAGTAATGTTCTGCCTTTCAGACGATGGTGTGATGCACAATTTTGTGTTTGGCAGGTCACCTCAACCGATGACACTGAGCCAATCCAATGTCTCTTGGTTATGTGAGCAGGTCATTTGTTTTGAGTGCTCTGAATTGCTGTCCTGTCTGAAGGGCACTATAGAAATTCGAGTTGTTATTTGCAATATTGGAAGACAATTACAGGTCGCAACATGTCAAGCGACTGCCGGGATGGTGGAAGGTGAACTAGATGGACCTTGGTCTTTTTTCGCCAGCAAGTTCTTATGCTCTTATGATAAAATTGGTTAATTTTAAAATCTCTTAGTTTGCATCAGTATTCCTTTGCGAGGAAGTTTCTAGGGAAATAGGAACAGGAGTAGGCCATTCAGCCCTTCGAGCCTGATCCACCATGCTATTAGATCAGAATAATAATAATAATCCTTGCATTTGATATAGTGCCTTATCACATCTTCGAGAGGTCTCAAAGCGCTTCACAGAATATACTGTGAGAGAACTGATTGTTTTTTGGACGAAATGCGGCAGCCAATTGCGTACAGCAGTGTCCCACAAACAGAAGTGGATTGAAGTGACCAAATTATTATTATTATTATTATTTTTTCATGGCTGATCTGTATCTCAACTCCAATTTCTGTTTTCTGTTTCTGATACATAGCTTTGACATACACAGTAACTTCATTTCGTCTGCAATGGGAATGGCTATCAACGATTTCTTGTGCGAATGTTCCTTTTGGAGTTTGTCAGTGGTCAATTAAGGAATGTATCATGAGATAAAGCCACTCTCATATAAATTCAGGGTCTGTATAAGTACATTCTGTGAAGTGCTTTGAGTCGTCTTGAAGATGTGATAAGGCGCTATATGAAATGCAAGTATTATTATTAATTAATATTTGGGTCAGAAATGTCAGCCTGCAAATCTGTCAAACTCAATCCACATCTTCAGAGGGTCACATGAATGCACTTTCCTGCCCCTTCGCTTTAGATTAGATGCAAACTGAGAATTTAGCCCTTGAGGGGGCGAATGCACATGGAGCAGAAGTGAATAATTTACTCCAATTAATCAACAAGTTTCTATGGGAAATGTTGGAACCTGTTGGGTGGAAAAAAACAGAAATTGCTGCCTGGGCATGTAAGTAGCAAGAATTGCCTAACCAAACAGATTGACAATTATATGAAGAGTTTTAATAATAATAATAATAATCCTGATGATGTCTATCTGATGATAGACATGACAATATTGGAGGCTGAGCAAGTCTAAACAAATCGGAGCTCATCCAATGGAATAGTTTATTCCCATTTATCTGTTTATTTCCCCGACCCTTCCAAATATATAATAATAATAAATAATAATCCTTGCATTTGATACAGCGCCTTATCACGTCTTCAAGACGTCTCAAAGCGCTTCACAGAATATACTATAAAGTGAATTGACTCTTTAGTTTGAGCCAATTGCTCAAACAGTCGTGGATTGAGTGACCAAATTATTACTTTTCAAAAAATATTATTGGAGGGATTAATTGAGGGAATTGAGTGGATTGAGTGACCAAAACTATTATAATAATAATAATAATAATAATCCTTGCATTTGATACAGCGCTTTTCACGTCGGGAGGACGTCCCAAAGCGCTTCACAGAACACACTGTAAAGTGAATTGACTGTATATTTGTGGGCGAACGCGGCAGCCAATTGCGCACAGCAATGTCCCACAAACAGTCGTAGATTGAAAATGACCAATTTATTATTGTTGTTGGTTTTGGAGGATTATTATTAGGCTCTGTGTGGAGTAAGGAAACTTGCCCAAGGTTTCACCCTCTGCCTGGAATTGAACTCAGGTCTCTCGCTTGCAAAGCGAGTGCTCTAACCACTGAGCTACAGGACTCCACTAATTATAAAATTTAATTAAAATAAAATTATTTATCTTTTAGAATGTGTGTTTTTTTTATTATTACCCTCGGAAAGTGATCCATCTATCGACTAATGACACACCAACGTTCCTACTTACTGCGAGGAAAACAGAGTTGTGTGGACTAAGGAAAGTTGCCTAAGGTTTCACTCTGTCTGGGAATTGAACCCAGATCCTCTTGTGAGGCGAGTGCTCTAACCAATATACTACGGGACTTCACCTACAGTATTCATACTGTTTTCATGTGTCATTACATTGATAAATTAATAACTAAGGTTAGAGCCAGTTGGCAATGTTTATGAGATTAGTCAACAATCATATTCATTACTTATTTACTCCTTCATTGATTCCTTTCACATTCAATATGATTCCATATTAACTGAATTGCAATGTGTGCTCTTAAAATGTAAAACTGTGTCACATTATGTAAAGAGCAATTTCAAAACTACAGACACAGGCTTGAGCTACCGTTTCAAATGGGCTTTGAGAAAAAATATTGCATGTGAAAGAAATTGGTAGCCAGCCAAGAATATTGAGGTGTTGTTTGGTATAGTTTGGTTTACACAAGTCTGAGCAAACACAAAATCCAGCTTGGATTTCTTATTAATTTTGCAATGAAGACAGTAAGAATAGTATGGATTGATGTCTTGTAAAGATAGGATGAAAAGGGTGACTGTGAATTGAAAGTTGCAGCTCGAGTACTGAATATTCGTGTCCACGTAAATGAACACCAATTTATCGCGAGGTGTCTCCTAGAGCTGTTCATAAGGTTATACATTTAATGTGGAAAAGAATTGTCAGAGAATGTAGTGGGCAGGAAGATTACAGGTAATTTAGATCAGATACAGTATTACCTGTTCTGTGCTTAAATGCAACGTTATGAGAGTTAATTTGAGTCTGGATTACTGAAAGTACTTATCCCTTATGTTTGAAAAATGATATAGAAAGTAATGGCTGGGATGGAGACGATGTTAAACGGATTCCATTACTGAGATACGTTTTGCAGTGAATAAAGCACGAAATGCCGGCTTCAAAATAAATGCCTCCGAAAAATGTCAAGGTTTCCTTCACTTGGTGTAAGGGAAAAAGATACAGAAGAAGAAATGGCAAATGATTAGCTCAAGTGGATAAAATTGCATTTCCAACTGTGTGAAAGTTGTGAGTTATAGAAGCCCAAAGGCTATCTGTCATTTTGGTGGTGGGGGTGGGGGCAGGGAAGAAGTAAAAGAAAGAGTTTAGTCAGTTCTTGGCTGGAGTCCTGAATGACAAAACCTATCCTTAATTGGGAGGAAAAGTTAATAAAGAGCCTGCAAGAAATTAAAGTAAAAAATGACACCACCATTCAGACCATCTTGTCTAGGTTGGTATTAGTTCCCTACTGGAGTCATCTACTCTAATCCCATGTGGAGTCCTGTAGCTCAGTGGTTAGAGCGCTCGCCTTGCAATCGAGACACTTGGATTCAATTCCAGGCAGAGGGCGAAACCTTGGGCAAGTTTCCTTACTCCACACAGAGCCTAATAATAATCCCTCCAAAACAAAACAATAATAAATTGGTCATTTTGAATTTACGACTGTTTGTGGGACATTGCTGTGCGCAATTAGCTGCCCACAAATATACAGTCAATCCACTTTACAGTCTATTCTGCGAAGCGCTTTGAGAGGTTGAGAAGACGTGAAAAGAGCTATAACGAATGCAAGGATTATTATTATTATTCCCTACGCCTTTCCCATACACTTTAATACTTTTCCTTTTGAGTACTGCCTTTATCAGCGTGTCTGACACATGCGGAAACCCATCACCGTACTGAAGAGTGTCCAAACCAAACTGAGAATGCTATGCAAGTTGTATCAAATTCCCTTCTAAATGTTATAATGGACACAACATAAACAGATACTGGTTATAAACAATCCACAATCTAAAAACCCTTGCCGTTGTACAAGGCTTCAGATTGCTTCCCAACACATTTTCTTTAGTCGGTATCGCTCAGATTATGCCCTCCTACTACACACCCACTGATCAGTGGAAATAAGTTTCTCCATGTTCGATCAGCCAGGAATCTGACACATGCAGGAAACCATTATTGTCCTTAAAGAGTGTCCAAACTACAGTGAGTTCAGGTAGTCTAGTTCCTGAGCCATGTGGTCCTCAGTACTCCAGGGCACTGCTTATGGCAGTCCAGCAGTCTTTATGAAAGACCCTAATGGTTATAAAATATTACACCCATTGAGCTTGAATCTTGGCTAAACGCAAGATCTCAGCATGGCTGAGCATTCCAAATTTAGCATGTTTATAGCGTAAAGATACTGAATGTTCAGTAAAAAAATTGGAACATCTCGATCGAGGGATACATGCAATAAGTAAGGTTTTCTTGCATAAAGATTCTCACACCGTAAACACAAACCCACAACAATACTGGGTTTGAAAACGGTTCATTTTGTTGAAATGCAGAGTTAATACAAATGACAAATACATAGCAGGTTCTTTAAACCCATTACCCATTACTAGTTTTGCTGCAAATGTGTACACGGGCAGCTGGGCTTATCTGATATTGTATAAGATTGAGAGATAAGGGCTTTGCTGAGCAGAGATGCATTGAATTGCTTTTTAAAGTCAACTCGGCAGATGGATAAAGTGTTTTTTTAATGGACACACTTCACTTAGTGAGAACATTTTAAGTGCAATACGCAAGTGGTTTTCCAGATTTAACACAACGGTGTGGACTCCAGGTTCTATTTCTGTATTCTGTGGCACTCTGTGAAAATATGTAGGTCAGGCCACTGAACACAGGAAATTGTGCAAAACACGGAAAAGATTTGCGAACTTAAACCTTAACACACTAGGGCACAAAACAAACCCAAAACACCACAAAGATAGTTTGCAAATTTTATTGTTGCAAACTGCAGGTCTTAATATCATACAGTGAGAGATTACAAAGTAAGATTTGTGACGTACAATGTTTTTGGTATATTTCATTACGATGTCGATTTGCATACCACCTGTTGTTACACTTTGGTGCATGAGCTCTGAGCTGTTACAGTTCCACTGAAGAACTTCATTTCAGATCTGTTAGCTCCTTCTGAATGTCCCACAGGGTGTCAGCACTCTTCTTTAACTGGGCTACCTCGTCATCCTTCAGGGTTAGCTTGATGACGTCAGTCAAACCGTCAGCACACAGGACACAGGGCAGGCTCAGGAAGACCTCATTCTCGATGCCATACATGCCCTAGAGGTTGAAGAAGAGTTTCAGGTTGGTTGCAATTTCATTACTTACAATAAAAACGTGCTCCCTACTTTGAATACGAGCTTTCAGATCCAACAACAACAACAGCAAATTACATTTACACGGCACCTTTCACATCGGGAGGAAATCCCCAGGCCCTGGACAGTCAGGGATTTGGACTCGAGCTGGAGGTTGGGGGTTGGGATTGGGAGGGGTGGAGAGCAGGGAGTGTAGGGGGTAGGAGGGTGACCGAAGGTGCAGTCGAAGAGGAGGGTCTTGATGGAGGCAAAGGAGGGAGCGAGGCGAAGGGACTGTGGCAATACTTCTCATTATTGTTATCATAATTATTAGCATTCTGGAATTATTATATGCCTAATAACTTGCCAATATTTCCGACAAAATCCAAATCTATTGCATGAAAATATATTTGTCATCAAGACTAGCTACGTATTGAGTGTGATTACACAATCTAGTTTGCTAATAAAATCAATAGCCTTAATAATGTTCCAATAGTGTGTCATACCTTGACCATGGTGGATACAGGGTGAATCCTCTTCAGATTTTTGATCAGAGACTCAGCCAGCTCAGCAACACTGAGACCTATGGCCCAGTTTGTGTAACCCTTCAGCTTAATCACCTCGTAAGCACTGGTAACACAAGTACAAGTTGTGACATGTTATCAATAAGGCCTTGAAATGGAGAATGGATTCTTCAACTGATTTCAAGTTTTAATAGTATATTGGTGTCATTCTCCTCTTCTAGTCATTTTGTTTGTGGGTGGGTGGGCGTCTGACACACGCAGAAACCCATCACCGTTGCTTAAGAGTCTCCAAACCAAGCTGAGATTTCCAATGCATCCCACCTACACATGGAAATCCCAGAGAGAGATTGTTGGAATAGAATGCGCTCTCTCTCCCTCTCCCGGACGCATCCTGCTCACCTACTTCCAGAAAGTATTACGCTCAGATTGGCAAGTGTCGAGGCTTGGGGACAAATAGTCGTGGATTGAGTGACCAAATTATTATTATTATTATTTTTTTGAAGGGATTATTACCCCCAGGAAAGCGATCCACCAATCGACTAACAACCGGGTTCCTTCTTACTGCCCGGGAATCCAACCCAGGTCCTCTCGCTTGTGAGGCGAGTGCCCTAACCAATGCGCTACAGGACTCCACAATAGTTTTGCTTGAATATTTTCTACAAACGTTAATACCTTTCAACCACCATTTTATGAACATCTTTCCAGTTCTCTTTGTCCTTTGGAGTTCCAATATCAGGATTCAGCTGCTGGAGCCCAACACCTGCCACATTGATGCCACTCCAAACGGGAACTGCAAACGGAAGCGGAGCTGAATTTATATGGAGTTATTCCAAAGTCCATTGGCTCACTGCCAATTTGCTATATAAGAGTCCCTCGTAAATATTTGATTCAGATGTCACAAGTTAAACTTAATGGTTTGAGTTGAGTTGTAGTTTGCACCGTTTAATCTTCTGATGCAGACACAAAATCAATTGGGGTCAAATACTTGCGATCTTTTTAATGCAACTCAGAAACCGTTACCCATAAAAAAACGCTCTTGAACTAGGCTCTGTATGGTAATGTTATAAAGCCGAATTACAGGGCTAATTATATTTGCGATGCCAATTAAAGTGCATACCACCTCACGTAACAGAAACACTTCACAATTTGAATGCGACTAAAAAGTGTGCTATTTTTATCGTTAAAAAAAAATCAGCATTTTGACCTTGTAGGTTCCTTTAAGAACGTAAGACTTTGCTGGCGAAAGAAGACCAAGGTCCATCTAGTTCACCCTCCACCAGCCTGGCAGTCACTTTAACCTTACCACTGGAGTCTCCATGTTCACCGAGGACCCAACCATGACAACTGGAAGCATGGACACCTAGCTTTTCAGCCATCATGTATCGGAACCTGGCGGAGTCTAAATTGCAGCCACTGCCAATGACACGGTGCTTGGGGAAACCGCTAATCTTCCAGGTCACGTAGGTCAGAATATCCACTGCAAACACAGGGAATATAAACATCATTTCAGCCCGTTCATGTTTCGAAAATTCTGGCACAATCCACCGGTTACTCATGAGTGCACTGAAGGATTTTGTCTCAAACTACTAACAATCATAAGACAAGCGATCTGCCAATCGACTAACAGCTGGATTCATACTTACTGCTAAAGAAACAGAGGCGTGTGGGGTAAGGAAACTTGCCTAACATTTCAAACCCAGGTCCTCTCGCTTGCTAGACGAGCGCCCTAACCAATACTACAGGATTACTCAAACCATTAAACACGGAAACTAAAATTGAGACAAGCTATATATTTACAAAACAATCCGCTCTTCTCAAGATGCACATAATTATAAGGATCATTTGGTTATTTTGGCAAACCTACAATTAACTAAAAGTGAGAACTGCCTGCCTCGGAGATCAATTGGTGCAGCGGTGGCCAACTTCTTCACAAAATAAATGTTTCTTGATTGAACATTTCTTGATTTATGGCAAAAGTCTGGGCTATTTTGATATTTCTATCATTATTTGTTATTCCACTCGACTGGCTCCGGCCTCCTGCTCGTCCCTCGTGCCCTCTGTTCCACCATTGGCGGCCGCACTTTCAGCCACTACGCCCCGAAACTCTGGAACTCTCTTCCTCTGCCTTGTTCCCTCCTGAAGACCTTCCTATTCAACCTGTGCCTATGGTCACCTCCCGCTCTCCCCGGCTCGGTGTCGTGCTCCGCCACTGTCAAGCGCTCTGGGATGCTGCCCTGCCTGAGGGGACGCTGTGTAAGTGCAAGTTGTTGTCGTTATTTTTGAATTAAACATTCAAACCTCTTTACCTACCTGGATTGGACACCACAATGATGGTGCATTTGGGGCTGTACTTTACTATTTGGGGGATAATGAACTTGAAGATATTGACGTTTCTCTGGACCAGGTTCAGTCGGCTTTCCCCCTCCTGTTGACGTGCTCCAGCAGTGACAACCACAACTCGCGAATTAGCTGTTACTGAATAATCTGTACAGACATCAATCAACATAGCGAGTTACAAAATGTATAATAAGAACATAAGAAATGCTAGACAGAAAAAATGATCAAAGTCCTTCTAGTTCACCTTCCACCTTCCTGGTGGTCACATGTACATATGTCCCAAACTCCCTACGTCCTATATCCCATCATGTTATTTCCTAAAAGAAAACTTTTCTAATCTGTGTGTGAAGGAATCAACATTTCCTGCTTCAACCGTCTCTCTAGGGAGCCTGTTCCACAAGTTCACTATTTGAATGCTAAAATAAATTCTGGGCTTTTTCTCCCCCCCAAAAAAAATCTGACACGTTTCCAAGCGGTTTTAACAGAAAAGATTTTTTAAACCAACAAAAAAGAATTGAGCTCCAACAAACAAAAATACAGAGCTACTTTTTACTAGTACTGTACTATAATAAGCCTTGAGTTTGATATAGCGCCTTATCATGTCTTCGAGATGGCTCAATGTGCTTCACAGAATATACTGTAAAGTGAATTGACTTTTATATTTTATATTTTGTGGGCGAAACATGGCACCGCAGTGTCCCACAAACAGTGGTGGATTGAGTGACCAAATTATTATTATTATCTAAAAAATGTGTTTTTAAGGGATTATTATCAGTTAATATAATACAACTTGCAATACCTTTGTTGGCCACAATCTTTGGAGTTTTGAGGAACAGACTACCATGAAGGAGATCCATCATCTCTCCCTTCAGTTTATCTTCCAGAACATCAACCAAAGCCATTTCATCAGTGAGCTCCTGAGGGAACAGAATGGGACTGGTGTAACTACGGATTCTAATGACCCAAACAGAAAGACTTTAAACTTAAATTATAAGATCACTGCCAAACTGAAATATCTCAATCAGCATCGAGCACTTTCTACAGCATTACAAATTAAGAGCAATTGCTGTAGTAATTACTATCATTTCAAAAGATCTTCATGCCAGATCACCCTTTTTTTTAAAAAGGAAGTTACAAGAGGAACAAAGGAACAGGAGTAGGCCATTCAGTCCCTCGAGCCTGTTCTACCATTCAAAAGGATCGTGGTTGATTTGTACCTCATGTCCAGTTAGCCGCCTTTGCCCCATACAGCTTGATACCCTGACCTAACAAATATCCATCTACCTCAGTCTTGAAAAAGTGAATGGATCCACAGCCTTTTGGAGGAAGAGAGTTCCAGATTTCCACTACCCTTTGGGCAATTCCTCCTGAAATTCCTCCTGATTTCGCTCCTGAATTGGCTTAGCTCTAATTTTAAGATTATGTCCCCTTGGCCTGGATTGCCCCACCCATCAGAGGAAGTAGTTTCCCTGTATCACCCGATCTCTTTTAACGATTCATGTGGCAAAGCCGCACTCACTGTGAAACTAGGCCATACAGACTTGGAAAATTCCAGGTCTGAATCCAAGTGTGTGCGAGATTACCTGAACTCAGCAGGACAGGACGGAGTGCTAAATGTAACCTCAGTGACTTGAGAGAGGAAATATCTGATCAAGATAGTCTTCCCACTGCATTTTGACATTTGCCAGATAATCTCTTGTTTAATCATCAGTTGAGGGAACTGGATTTGGTTCAACTATGACGTCCCCTACATTTGGTATCTAGGTTCAGATAGGTTCAAAATGATAAAGACATGAAAAAACAACTACTTGAGCAAAGTAATAGTGAATGGCCAAAACCGTGTCAAAACAGTACAAGTCACTGCTTTTAGGAAAGGAAAGCATTTCCCCATAATTTTCTAAAACAGTGATACAGGCTGAAGTGAAAATATTGCACAGAATTAATACACACACAGGTGGTCTGGTTATAATGCCATGAATTGAGACCCTGACAGTATAACAAGGCACATACAATATGACTGCCGGCCAGTTCCCTTGCTACACACAAGTTATCAACGATCCATCCTGACAAATATGAAGTGACGTCAGTGGTATTTCTGCTCATTATAATAATCTAATAATAATTATAATCCTTGCATTTGATATAGCGCCTTATCATGTCATTGAGATGTCTCAAAGCGCTTCACAGGACATAGTGTAAAGTGAATTGACTGTATATTTTGTGGGTGAAATGCCCACAAAAAAACAGTCGTGAATTGAGTGACCAAATTATTATCATTATTATTTTTGGGAGAGGGATTATTACCCCCAGAAAAACGATCCACCAATCAATTACCAACTGGGTTCCTACTCACCCCTGGGTAAACAGAGGGGTGTGGAGTTAGGAAACTTGCCTAAGGTTGTGCGCTATTCAGGAATCGAACACAGGCATCAAAGTTCCAGTTCAGAGTGGGTCTACGGTACACGCATACTATAAACAGACCGAGGCTGAATCAAGCCACATTATAATGGCATTTGAGTGCAAACTTACCCTTAAAAGAATGCTAACAGCACAAGCCATCCCAACCTGGCCAACACCAACTACTGTGACCTTATTCCTAGGACCTTCGGCTCGGTCCTGAGTAACAGATGAAATCAGTTTTTCTTGAAGAGTTGCCATGTTGCACCACTGCTACAAAAGAGAAAACAGAATTATTTACTGCATATTTAAAAACAAGATGAAAGTAATACACAATAACTCTTGAAAGCAATGGTTAGAAGATACATTATCTTTTTCTGTGCAATACTGCACAACTTTTAATTCAATCAATTGCCAAGAGGGGCTACAATAGAGAATGCAAAGGGTAATTAGATTCAGATAGTCTCACAGATCTGACTGCGAGCAAAGACATTCGTGCACAACACAACTGTTGTCTAGAACAAAGTCAGAGACAGATGCTATATTGAAAGAGCTGCCAAAAAGTTCCCATGAATGTGATCCATCCCATTTGCAAACTGTTCCAAACTAACAGCCCTTCCAAGATGTCTCCATTGTGCAGATCAAAAGACTTAAGCAAAGCATTTTCAACTTAAGTGTTACTTAAAAGGAAGTTAAAATTAAATCAAGTCCAACTTACCACGGTACAGCTTAAGAACAAAAAAAGTAAGGGAACTTGGTTAAAAAAAAAGCTACAATAATGTTTGTTTAGATATTTCAGCTCTCTGAGCCATTAAACGTTGGAATGAAACGAATCTCATTATGTTGAAAAAAAAGAGCTACAGGTCTGATGAACCGGTTGAACCAACAACATTTACATAACACAAGGTGACATTTTGCATTTACTGCTTCCAGCTGCGGATTATATTTAAGAGCTCAACAAGTTGGACGTGAGCCATTATATAGTTAGATAAACCTTTAAAGTAATTGCAAATTCAACAATCTAAATGGCGTTCTCCTAATTTTTTAACATTACTCGAGTAAATTGGGGGGAGCAAAAATCAGACACACACCCCCCCACCCACCCCACCCCGTAAGCAAATGCTTTAAAAATATTTGCTGTGACTTCCTTTTCTACGAAAACGTGTGAAACGAGCACAGAAAATAATTCACAGCTAAAAGGCAAGCGGATCTTGTGCGTTGTTCCCCGCAGATTGGGATGGTGAGGGCAGTGCAAAAAAAAAACGAGAGAAAGAAGTCGATGAAGGTTTCTTTTTAAAAAAAAGTGAAAAGAGACACAAGGAATTGTATTTGCAAAGATATCACTCTGTAGTTTATTTGGCTTAGAGAGAGAGAGAGAGAGAGAGGGAGGGAGAGAGAATGGCAAATAATAAGCCTGTTAAGATCTTAGGTGGTTGTAAGCAGGACATAGTTTTGTTCCATTGAAGGGAATTCTCTCCCGCAATCCGCCTGCCTTGCCCTCTCCTCCCCCCATCGCTCTTTTAAATCGCGACTGAAGATCTTCCTGTTCGACCATGCTTACAGTCTCCCTTCCCCCCCCCCCCCATCTCAGCTTAGTATCAGGCTCCGGCACCTTTAAGCGCTCTGAGACAGGATGTAGGGCAGCGTGTAAGGACAGACAGCCCTTGCTTGTCCTTATTCACATTTCAAGGTCAGGTAATGCGTGTGTGTGTGTGTGTGGGTCTGTCTGTCATCGTACAACACTCAAAAGAATGCGAGTTGCAAAGATGCCAAGTTTCCAACAGAGCCCACATTAAACAGTCCGGATACAAAGAGAGTCCAGTTTCAAATGGGCCGCAGACACACACTGGTTAACAGAGCCCAGTGGTTTAAAGCCACATTTCTCTCAGTCCTTTTGTAAGCTCCCAGCTCCTGTTTCATGCAACCGTCCACCAAGTCAAGATTTTTCTTTGAGACGAGAGAGAATTGTGCGCGTCCTTCTAAGTCGTGCAATTGCATGGACTGCTCTCTGGACTGAGAGCTTAAATTGATATTAAATTGGCACATGTCTCTCTCCCTCTTCTATCTGATGGCAAACCCACTTTCAGCCACGTTGTTATCGTAACAAACACTCCCCCTCTCTCTCTCTCCCCCCCCTACACACACACACACACGGGGTAATCGCAGCCTTTCACCCCCAACTGAGCGAGATTTCGAACCAAAGTGCCAACTTATGAGCGGAAAAAAAGGACATTATAATATCCGCAGTGGCTAAACTGCGGGGAAGTGGAGAGAGAGAGAGAAAAGGACATGATATTATCAGATGGGAAGTGGTGTGGGGAGAGAGAGAGAGGGATAGAGTGAAGGAGGAGGGAGAGTGAGTGAGTGAGTGAGTGGTGCCTCTGGTTAGTGTGGTGTGTGGCAGTAGCACATACCGGTCTGGATGGCTGCCTGGTCTTCCCTCTGTGCTGCCTGTGTGTGTGTGCGGTGTGTGCTTGGCTGCTCAGTCAGTGTTAGTGACGCGCTTCTTTCCACCCACAAGGACATCTCGAGGTCCTCCTCCCTCCTCCCCCAGCCTGACACCATTATGAGCGAGGCACGCGAGAGGGAGGTACCAGAGGAGAGGAGCCTCACAAGGCTTTTTTAGGGGTTGATTCGGATTTGCCGAGTGTTTGGCGAAGGTTCTGTGTTTTTTTTAATTTTGAAGTCAAAGGAGAGAGTTTTCTTTCTATTTTCTGAAGAGTTAGAAAGTGAGAGCAACGTCGCGCACGCGGTCCTGCAAGAGACGCTTCCACGTCAGGGGGCTGGAGGGGCGTTAAAGAGGACAGGGCGGTGTTGAGGAGGGGGGCGCAGAGAGTGGGGAGGGGGGGGGGTATGGAGAGGTGGGGGGCATTGAGGATGAGGGTTTAGAGGAGAGGGGTATTGAAGAGGGGGGTATTGAGGGGGGTTTAGAGGAGGGGGGTATTGAGAGGGGTTTAGAGGAGGGGGTATTGAGGGGGGTTTAGAGGAGGGGGTATTGAGGGGGGTTTAGAGGAGGGGGTATTGAGGGGGTTTAGAGGAGGGGGGTATTGAGGGGGGTTTAGAGGAGGGGGTATTGAGGGGGGTTTAGAGGAGGGGGTATTGAGGGGGGTTTAGAGGAGGGGGGTATTGAAGAGGGAGGTTTAGAGGAGGGGGTATTGAAGGGGTTTAGAGGAGGGGGGTATTGAGGGGGGTTTAGAGGAGGGGGGTATTGAGGTGCGGGGTTTAGAGGAGGGGGGTATTGAGGGGGGTTTAGAGGAGGGGGTTATTGAGGGGGGTTTAGAGGAGGGGGTATTGAGGGGGGTTTAGAGGAGGGGGGTATTGAGGGGGGTTTAGAGGGGGTATTGAGGTGCGGGGTTTAGAGGGGGGTATTGAGGAGGGTTTAGAGGAGGGGTATTGAGGGGGGTTTAGAGGAGGGGGGTATTGAGGGGATTTAGAGGAGGGGGTTTAGAGGTTGGGGGTTTAGAGGAGGGGGGTATTGAGGGAGGTTTAGAGGAGAGGGGTTTAGAGGAGGGGGGTATTGAGGGAGGTTTAGAGGAGGGGGGTTTAGAGGAGGGGGGTATTGAGGGGGTTTAGAGGAGGGGGGTATTGAGGGGGGTTTAGAGAAGGGGGATATTGAGGGTGGTATTGAGGAGGGAGGTCTGGAGGAGGGGGGTATTGAGGGGGTTTAGAGAAGGGGGTATTGAGGGGTGTTACAGAAGGGGGATATTGAGGAGGGTTGTTTAGAGGAAGGGTGTATTGAGGGGGTATTGAGGAAGGGGGTATTGAGGCAGCAGTATTGAGGAGGGGGTATTGAGGAGTGTATAGAGGAGGGGGTTTGGGGGAGGGAGGTGTAGAGGATGGGGGCATTGTGGAGCTGGCAGTATTGAGGAGGGGGTATATATGAGGAGGGGGGTATAGATGGGGGGGTACAGAGGAGGGGAGTGTAGAGGAGGGGGTATTGAGGAGGTGGTGGAGTAGGGAGGGGAGGGGGAGGCAGCATTGAGGAGGGGCAGCAATGATGGACGTCAGGCTTTGTAAAATAAGAGCCTGAGTTGGCATCTCTGAAGCCCTCTGGCTTATCTCACTCCATATCAGCTCCTCTGCCCTCTTCACACATACCGTACACTTTACTGACCTATTTAAGAGATTCGAAACCACAGTATTTTTCTTTGAACGACTCTTCCATCCACCGCCCCTTTTCCCATTGGCTCTGGCCCTGGTCCAGGGGTATGTTTGTATGGGCCTACATTTGGCAACACTTGAACGTCCGATGTCACAGGTTCTCTCGTGATGTGCTGCTGCTGTACAATAAACTCAACAAGGCCTTTCGCCCTTGTTTCGAGACGGCAATCCCTACACGCTCTTGTGCCGCAGAATTTCGTCTCCTGATAAGATTATAAGATTACAGCTGTATGTGCTAAGACCGCGGCTCTCCTGATTGGCACCCGTCAGCGCCTCTACATCTCAGGCACCGGCGGCATCACTATTCAAGGTTGCACACTCCACCTCACTAAGCCAGTCTGGAACCTTGGCGTCTTGTTGCCCCCCTACTATCCTTTCTACCCCACATCTGCGCCATGTCTGGCTCTGCCTTCCCCCACCTCCACAACGTCGTTGAGACGTCTCAAAGCCCTTCACAGAATATGCTGTAAAGTGAATTGACTGCATATTTTGGGGGCAAAATGCAGGAGCCGATTGCACACAGCAGTATCCCACAAACAGCTGTGGATTCAGTGACTAAATTATTAGTGTTTTTGGAGGGATTATTAACCCCGGAAAGCAATCCGCCAATCGACTAACAACCTGGTTCCTACTTACTGCTGGGTAAACAGAGGCGTGTGGAGTAAGGAAACTTGTGTAATAAAATATACAGTCAAATCACTTTACAGTATATTCTGTGAAGTGCTTTGAGACATCTCGAAGACATGATAAGGCGCTGTATCAAACACAAGGATTATTATCCCCCTTAAACAGGCAATCAAGACCTCAGCTCATCCTCAGGTTAATTCTGACAAAGTAACTCCCCGGCATTGCACTGAAGTGTCAGCCTAGATTGTGAACTCAAAGTTTAGAAGAGGAACTTGAACCCACATCCTTTTGACTCACAGACCAGAAAAATTGCAGTCTCTGAGCCAGGCTGACACCGTTAAGTACGGTATTTGAATCAGTCAGTGACTCAGAAACAAAAGCTCGAAGAATACCTTTCAACACAGGTTATTTTGTCAACGGCGGAACTAATCACCGTGCTTAAAAAGTGTCCAAACCAGACAGAGTTCCATACTTGCTTGGAAACATTCCCTTCGAATTGAGCGCATTCTCCATCCCTGCAAAGATGTACCCGGCTTATCCAACATCGTAAAATATTAGGCACAAGTTAGCCAAGGCTTTGGGGGACCTCAGAGCATGTGTTTAACCAGCCATTGCAAACATTGTTGGGAAGCTTCCTACTTCCACCGAGACGTCTCAAAGCGCTTCACAGAATTTATTATAAAGTGAATTTTTTGTATATTTTTTGTATATTGTATATAAAAGTATATTTTTGTGGGTGAAACACAGCAGCCAATTGCACACAGCAGTGTCCCACAAGCAGTCGTGGTTCGAGTGACCACGTTAATATTACTTTTTAGTGGTTCTTCTTTCAAAAATAAAATACTATTTTTTTCCCCAACAGTTCTTTAGCCCCTTCACAATAAGTTAGAAATCACACACACGCTCAGGAACTTTCATGAATCCACGAGAATATATTGCTGGAAAGCAAAGAACGATAGGAAAAAAGGAAACTGTAAATAAAGTGTCAGGAAGCACTGAAGGAAAGAGATAAAGAGTTAAATTGAGCAAAAGCAAGTTCTTTGCCCTTAAAGTCCTTGGAATTCATTGCCATCATATGACTTCTTATTTTAGTGATGCCCTCTTCCTGACATTGTGCATGCAATCCGACCAAAATGGTAAACCTTTTAAAAGCTCCCACAGAGAAGGACTGTTCGGGATTGACTTCAGTCGCATGAAAAAAAAATTGGATTTCTTCTGCCTGAAGCAAAGAAATAAACACAAAGAGGGGAAAATATCAAATTAAATAATAATCAGCGGAAAGATGAACCGATGATTAACAGTACGCACTTGTGAAGTGTCTTGAATTTTTTTTACCCATGATGTGGGACTAAATTTACTTCCCTTTTGATAAACATTGTGCTGTCAGCTGCAGAACTTCTTCAAGCTTGACCTGCAGAAGGCAATCAAATGCATTGAAGGCATTTGCTCCAAACTAAAGGAACAGTTTCTTTTGATTACACACTTTACTCATATAGAGCAATTCATAAATAAGCGCTTTGTATGTAGAGGTCTCAGGATTCTCCAAACATCTGGGAAACTTTGCAACGTGGCTATAAAATAGTTGAGTCAGATGACTGTTCCAGTCTTGTTATGAAATGAGCAAAATATGTGCCTGAGCCTCAGGATACTGTTAGGATTCTCTTATGTAAGATCCAAAGTGTACCCATACGAGTACACTTTGGCAACGTTAAAAAGATGCGCATGATTTCACGGTCCACTTACAAAATACACAGTCACTGCACTTTCCTGTGAAGTGCTTCAAGGCGTCCTCTCAGGAGGATTTCTCAAAGCGCTTCACAGGATTTATTGTAAAGTGTAGTGACTTTGTATTTTGTAAGCAAACACGGCAGTCAATTTATACATAGTAATTTCCCACAGGCAGCCGTGAAGTGAATGAGTAAATGATGAATTTTATCTGTTAGCTGGAACCTGGGGAAAAAAGTCTGTTCTCTTTTCATATAGTGTGGGATATATAAGACTGGGCTCTTTACTGCTCACATGAACGGTTGGACTGGACCTCAGTTTAATGTCGAGCAATGCAGCAATTCTCAGCAGTGCTCTGGGGTGTTAGCCCAGACTAACTATGTGCTCAAAGTCTCGACGTGAGACTTGAACCCATAACTTTCTAACTCAGAGGCAAGAATGTTACCGACTGAGCCAGGCTGACATCAATAACGGCTCAAGATGTTAATTGTTTCACCCACCATCGTGAATCGGGGAAATATGAGACTAGAAGTTTCCTGAATGGAAGGAAGGAGTTAACTGGCGTTCTTCCACAAAAATATCAATAATCAATCCGTCTGCAATACACAGGAACCTATAATAAATACGGCCATTCCTTACAATACCACAACAATTAGTCATCAAGTCATCAATACATTTCACACTCTGCCCTTTCCCTCTTAATTAGCACTAAGATAATTACTGTTAGAGGGATAGAAATGCTGTACTGCATATGAATAGATTTTGCTATTGAAGACCTTCATTTCAATTAAGGTTGCTCGGTGTAATGTCAATAGCCTGTCGCCCACAGGACAACAATGAACTCTCAATATTTATTCAAGTGTTGTACTGTTATAATTGGTCCTCGTGCAGAAATAATGTGATGGTCAATAATGTGTATGTTTTCTGGGTGTCAACAATTTTGCGGATTGTAAACAGGCATCTGGAATTAGCTTTGCTTAAATATGTTCGTACTTTGGGAACAAGCATTGCAAGTTTCTGGGATCTGTTCCTGATATTGGA